TATTTCCTGTGTGGTTTGATGCTTTTTCATGAATTGTCTGCCTACCCCTATATCTTCAAGATTTCTACCTATTTTCGCTTCCAGGAAATTTAGTGTTTTCTGTTTTAATATTCAGATCTTTGATCCATTTAGACTTTAGTTTAGTACATGGTGATAAGCATGGGTCTAGTTTTAGTTTTCAGTATATGGAGAGCCAATTTTTCTAATTTATTAAAGAGAGATCTTTCGTCCAGTGGAGATGTTTGGGCCTTTTATCAAAGATAAGGTGGCTGAATGTATTTGTAGTTGTAGTTGTATCTTCCAATCTATTCCTCTGATCATCAGGTCTGTTTTTATTTCACTACCATGTTGATTTTATTACAGTAGCTTTGTAGTATTACTTCAAGTCAGGGATCGTGATACCTTCTGCCTTGCCCTTGTTGCTTAGACTTGCCTTTGGTATTGGTCTCTTGTGGTTCCAGATTAATTTTAAGAGTGATTTCTCTAGATCTATGAGATATGATAGTGGTATTTGATTGGGATTGCATTAAATCTGTATAATATTTTTTGGAGAATGGCCATTTTCACAATATTTATGTTTCTTATACATGAACAAGGGATGTCTTTCTATTTTCTGAGATCCACTTCAATTTCTTTTTCAGGGTATTATAATTTTCCCTGAATAGATCTTTTTTTTTTTTCCTTTTGTAACATGGATCCCTAATTATTTCATTTTTTGGATGCTATTGTGAAGGATATGGCTTCTCTTATTTCTCTCCCAGTGATTTTGTTGTTAGTGTATAGGAATACTATAGATTTTTCAGTCTTGACTTTGTATCCAGCTATGTCACTAAATTTTCTTATTATATCTAATAGTGTTTCAATTTAGTTTTGGGGGGGTCTTCTCTGTAGAGTATCATGACAGATAATGAAAATTTAACTTCTTTTCCTATCCTTACTCCTTTATTTCTCTCTCATCTAATTGGTCTGGCTAGTATTTCCAGCACTACGTTGAATAGGAGTGGTGATAATGGACATCCTTGTCTTGTGTCTGTTTTTAGGGTAAACACTTTCAGTTTTTGGCCATTTAATGTGATACTGGCTGTTGGTGTCATAGAATGCCTTTATCATATTGAAGTAAAGACCATCTATTCCAATTTTCTTATCATGATTCCAAGATTCTTATCATGAATAAGTGATGAACCTTATCAAAACATTTTTCTGCATCTATAGAAATGATCATGTGATCCTTATTTTTGGCTCTATTGATATGGTGGATTACACTTATTGATTTACATATGTTGAACCATCCCTGTATTCCTGGGATGAATTCCGCTTGCTCGTGGTGTATAATCTTCTTGATGATTTGCTGTGTTCTTTTTGCCAAAATGTTATGAAGAATTTTTGCATCTATATTCATTAGGGAAATTGGCCCGTAGTTCTCTTTTTTAGTTGGGTCTTTCTCAGGTTTTGACACTCGAGTAATATTTGCTTTCAGGAATGAGTTATGAAGAAATGCTTTCCTTTCAATTTCATTGAAGAGTTTGAACAGTGTTGGCATTAAGTCTTCTTTGAATTTCTTGTAGAATTCCACAGTGAATCTGTCTGGACCTGAGCTCTTCTTTGTTGGTTAGGATTTAGTTACATTTTCAATTTCATTAATAGAAATGAGTTATTCAGCAGTTTTACATCTTCTTGATCCAGCTTTGTTATTTCATATGTTTCTAGGAATCTGTCCATTTCTTCTGTGTTATCAAACTTATGAGAGCAGAGGTTTTTTAAATAGATGTTGATGATCTTCTGTATTTCCAGATTCTGTAGTGATTTCACCCTTTTCATTTCTTATTACATGAATTTGAGTTTTTTTCTTTCCTTTTTAAAAGAAGGTTGGCTAGGGGCTTATGAATTTTATTTATTTGTTCAAAGAACCAACTCCTTGATTCATTGAATTTTTTGTATTGTTTGCTTAGTCTCTATTGCATTGGTTTTTGCTCTGATCTTTATAATTTCCTTCCCTTTTTTTGGCTTTGGACTTCACTTGCTGTTCTTTTTCTAGATGTTTGAGGTGTAGCCTAAGGCTGTTTATTTGTGTTTGTTTTGTTTTCCTGATGTGGGAGTTCACTGTGATAAATTTTCCTCTGAGGGCTGCTTTCATTGCATCCCACAGATTCCAGCAAGTTTTATTTGTATTTTTATTTGCTTTTAGATATTGCTTAATTTCTTTTTTAATTTCCTCTGTGATCCTGATAGCGCAGGAGTGTGTTATTCAATTTCCATGTGTTTGTGCAGTTTGCTTATAGATATTGTTTAATATCTTCTGTGATCCTGATAGCTCTGGAGTGTATTATTCAATTTCCATGTATTTGTGAGGTTTTTGCCCCACAAACACATTTCATTTATAATTAACTTCTAGTTTCATGGCCCTATGATCTGATAACATGCATCGGATAGTTTCAGTTCTTTTGCATTTACTTAAGTATGTTCTGTGGGTTGGCATATGTTCTATTTTAGAAAATGTCCCCTGTACTGCTGAGAAAAGTGTATATTCTGGTGTTGTTGGATGGAACACTGTATACATCCACCAAGTCCATTTGTTAACAGGTGTGATTCAGTTCTATTATTTATTTGCTGATTTTCTGTCTGGTTGATCTGCCTCTTTGTGTCAATGGCACTTTAAGTTCTCCTGTTATAATTGTGTTATTGCTTATTTGATTTTTCATTTCTGTCAATATTTGTTTTGTATAACTGGGTGCTCCCAAATTTGGTGCATATATATTTAAGATTGTTATCTCTTCCTCTTGAAGTTTTCCCCTAGCTATTATGTAGTGACCTTCTTTATCTCTTTTGCTCATTCTTGGTTTAAAGTTCACATTGTCTGCAAACAGTATAGCTATCCTCGCTTTTTTGGGGGGTGGAGGGGGCGAGTCCTGTTGCATGAAGTACTGTTTTCTGTCCTTTGACTTTCAGTTTATGAGTTTCCCTTTGAGTTAGATGGGTTTCTTGTAGACAGCGTATGGTTGGATGTTGTTTCTTGATTCATTCTGTCAGTCTGTTTTCTTTAATTGGTGAATTAAGGCCATTTACATTAATGGTTGTAACTGATATGTTTTGGGTTTTTTTTTTTTTTTTGACATATTACCTTTCTGCTGTTGCTTCTTTACTTTTCCACTTGGTTTGTTTTCCTGGCTTAGTAGCTTTTTCCTATGTCTGTCAAGAATGTCTCTCAGTATCCTTTGCAGTGTTGGTTTAGCTGTTCTTTGTTACATAAGTGTTTTATTTTTCCATCCATTTTGAAGGACAGTTTTGCAAGATGCCTCAGTCTAGTTTGGAAGCTGTTTTCCTTTAGGATCTGAAATACTTCACTCCAGGCTCTTCTTGACTTCATTGTTTGTGCTGAGAAGTCTGCTGTGATTCTGATAGATTTTCTTTATAGGTGATCTGTCTTTTGTCTCTAATAGCTTTTAATATTCTGTTCTTATGTTGGATTTTTGGGATGTTGATTATTACATGTCTGGGTGTAATTTTATTTTGGTTATGGCTATTTGGAGTTCTATATACTTCACTGATCCATATATCAGTTTCCATTCTCATGTTTGGGAAATTTTCAGCTATTACTTCTGTAAATAGCCTCTTGATATCATTTGTGTCGTCACCTTCTTTTTCCTTTGTCCCTATCAATCTTATGTTGTTTTTCTTTGTGTGACTTTGCAGCTGTTGAATTGTTATTTCCTGATTCCTAGTTATTTTTAAAAGATCTTTCCTTTCCTGTTCACTAACTGCAATCTTGTCTTCGAGGTCTGAAATTCTATCTTCACTTTCACTGAGTTTGCCAACTTTCAATGGAATTTTTGATTTCCTGTATATCTCTTTGTATCTGCTTCATGCATTCTGTTTGTTTCTTATAATGTTCATTCAGGGTTACATCTTTTTGCATTTTTCCTCTAATGTTTTAACTGTGACTTCTTTAGGTTTGTTCAGTATTTCTTTCATTACATTTATCATTTCTTTTACCTGGGAGAGTATTTCTGATTTGAGTTCTTTTATAGCTTCATGGAGTTGTTTCTTTATTTCAGTTGTTCTCATTTCAGGCCTTTCAGGTGTATAGCTTATATTTTCTTCTGTGTACATGGCTTCTAGGTTTGCTTGGGATGGGCTGGAGGATTGAGATTGCATTTTGGTCTTTCATTTTTTCCATTTTCCTATATTTCCATGTTTTGAGTGATGTTCCAAAGCTTCCCACAGGCATGCTGGAAATCACCTCGTCAGCCCTCAGCTTTTCAGGACTGATTGGAGATCACTGGGCATGGCCCAGTCAAACTTGTGGAACTTCCTGTGCCTCCTACAGTTGTTCAAATGCAGAGTGGGGTCCTAACCTCTGGGAGCAATGGTCAAAAGCTCTCCCTAAGTGAGCCCAAGCAAGCTGAAACTTACCTGTGTGCCCTCAGCTTCTGGGGCTCAATGGAGGTTGTTAGGTGTGGCCCAGTCTAGATTAACATTTTCAAATGAACTCAAGTATTTTATATCCATAATATTCAGTATAATACTTACCAAGTTATTAATTTTGTATAATTGTGGGGTTTTTAATATGCTCTATGGGAATTATGTATATCAAATTCCTAATTTAATGAAAGATAAAAATAAGACTATGACCACTTAAACAGTGAGTGATGGCTACAATGTAAATCTCTTTGGTAGACAAATGTCCAGCATAAAGGATAGGAAGTAAAGTAAATGCCAAAACAAGCCATAAACCTTTGATAAGATGAAAGTACGAAAATGGATCATAAATGAAAAATCATAGTGCTTGATTGAAGAACATTCATCATCACAACATTCTCAGATAGGAAAATGATTATATAAATCTTATAAAATTGTGCAGGCTAACAAAACAGTGAGTCCACCTGTAATATACAGAAATATTTTAGATAATTTGAAAATTAAACACCTAACAGAGTACAAATGTGTGATTTGATGCTGCCCTCATTTGTTACTACAAATATTTGTTTTTATTTTTTAATTAGATACTTAATCAGACCTGATCCGCTGTCCTACCTCCCAAATAGTGAACCCAGCCGGAAAAACAGCATCTGCAATGCCACTGGTCAAGATTCTCGGGAGGAAACCCAGCTTTGATAGCAAGAAAATAAGAGACATTTTTTTTTACTCCTATGAGGATCTTGCTTGAAAAACTAACATGTTGCTGCCATTGAAAGAAAGTAGATTAGAATGTATTCAATTCTCTCATATCTAAAAAGTAAATCTATTCTCTTAGAAGTATAGACCAATTTAAAACTTAATGTACCATTTAATGGTACTTCCCTTGTTAATATTGAAAAGAATGATTCTGAAAACCTAAATTAAAAAACAAAAATTGAATTCTGATATTTGATGTTTGAGTATAGTCCGAACTGTACAAAACTAATTTTAAAAAATTATTACAGTTTTCTTAAAGTAAAAATTCTAACAATATTTGGTATACCACAGTAGACATAGAAGATTGTTGCTCCTGGTAACACTTAAATGTGTCATATTATGTTCTTTAAACTTGCTGTTTTATGAAATTGAGCTCATCATAAATGCCTAGTCTTCTCTATATAGGGATTAATCAATAAATTTATATGGCTGAATTTTGTGTGAAAATTATAGTTTGCTTTATAATATACATTGTTATTTTAACTTTTTTTCTTGTCTTTTCATTTAATGCCATATTCATTTTAGAATTTCAGATGTTCATAGCATGTTTAATAAACAAAAAGATATATTCAGTTCCCTGAGCTTTTTGGTAACTTAATACTTAACAAACATTTTATGCCAAGAAAGTGTACTAAAAGTCAAATATCTACTGTTCTCCTAAAGAAAATGCCTAGCATGGAGAAAATATTGAATGCATATTCGTGAATTTTAATATAAGAACTGAAACTTTAACTGGATTTCTGAAATATGCAGTAATAATTTTCATTTGACTCTTGAGTTTTAACAATTTTCTTGTATCTCTATAGCAAATTTACATTAGAAAAATAATTTAATATTGAATGGAGAATATTTATACTTTTATGGACTACAAAGACACTTTAAAACCTTAAATATCTTACTTATATCTTTGCTATTGAAGTAATCACACTCAAAAACAATCTGTGAAAAATTTCAATTTAATTTGAAAAACCTTCTATACTATAAATTCTATAGGATCTGTATTATAACATTGGGAGGAAAAGTATTTAAAATAGCACTTCTTGCCTTTTAAATTTAATATTAATCATTCCAAATTTGACAGTTGTAAATATATAAACTAAATCTTGAGGATATTAACAATTTTTCTGAATTATTTTTGCTTCTCCTATGTAGACTAAAAAGCACAAGAGAAAGTACACATAGCTTTCAGATAATAGTATAGTCAAGTGTTCCCATAGAAATATTGGAAATTTCAAAAGATGTTTTTCTTCTAACTGTATGTTATTTTATTTTATTTTATGTTAATTCCCTGAGATTGACAGTTTTACTTCATAAAAGTAAGACATATTAGAAAAAGACATTTTTGTCCTTTCTTTTCATAATGAAAAAGAATGTTTGAATGGGAATAGAATTATTAAAATGATAAAAGAAATTTAATGTTTTCCCAATTATTATGCAGAAAAAAATGTAAAACATGCAACATGAAATTGAACATTATAACCATCACATAATTTGGCCCTACAAATATGAAATGTCATTGCTTTCCAATGTTTCACATTACTCACATTTTAGAATAACAAGAACACCAGGGATTTCATCTAAAATAGATTAAAACTCATTTTAGTTTTATTTGGTCTTCTTTGATCTGTCAGAAAAAAGGGAAAAAAATAAAAGGTTACTTAAAGTTGGAAGCATGCCTTAAAATTTAAAAATTGTTTGCATATGTGTATATGTTTGAAATGTAAAATGCATTTGACAAGCATTCTTAGCATATATTGGTAAAATTGAAGGTGGAAAAGAGTGAATGTAATAGGGAAAAATTGAATTTATTGAACTTGCTTTTGTTATTTGCACACCATTAATGAAGTATGATCTTTCTTTGAGTTGGCTTTTTTTTTATCATCGTTACAGTCATTTTTAGGAATTAATGTAGAATTTTACATATCTGTTTTCCCCACAAGATCTATAATTTAGTATTTTTACATTATGACAGGTAAGACTAGGATTTTAAGCTAGAATACGGTTATATTTCCTATAGAATTAAAATTTTTCTTTCATAAATTTTAAAAATTATTTTTGATTATGAGCATATTAGTCCAAATTTAATATTTGACAAAATTCATACCAGCTTGCTATAATGATGATAGTTTATTAGTCTTTCTGATTCTTTAAAAATAAAACATGCTTATAAAAGACTTTTAACAAACTGTTGCCTTTTTAAAACAATTATACTTGCACATGAAATATAAAGTTAATAATTGTTCTGTAGCCCTAGGGGAATTGGTTCAGTTTATTGCTATGTAACATTTTGCTACCAGTTATACTGAATTGCTTTGAAATAAATAATAATAAAATTATTTCTGATGATGAACACTCTTTGTGTCTGTTGCCAAACTTTGTTAGACTGTTTTAAATTTAAAATTATTTTTTACTTGTATATTTAAAACCACAGTAAACACAAAGGTGGTTTCATTGGACAAGAAAGCCCTAAATAAACTTCTGCTAAATTGCTTCCTCTTATAATGTCAGATTCTGAATAATTATTTTGTCATGACCAGAAAGAAGAAGTATAGATAAAAGAAAGCAGAAATGAACAATGGGAAGAGTGAAAGAAGATGAAGTGGAATAAAAACCTAAAGTAGATGCTAAAGGAGAAATATATTTTACAAGGCAGCTAATAATGTCTCAACATACTATTTTAAGTTTGAGGAAAGCACTGGTACAAAGGGAAAGAAAGTTTAAAATACAAAATATCTCCGGTTCTAAGTAAATAGAAAGACTCATTTCTCCTTAGCCCTGCTCTTAAGGTATCCCGAAAGTCCCTTGGTATTCCCTTGGGGCATTCTGTACTTTTTAAATGACATGTACTGTAGCATAATGGCAATTGGCTGTGCATCTCAGTAACTGCATCTGAGGCTAGAGAAAGCAGTCTGTGTTCACTCATGTTGTGATGAACAGCAAGGTGTGAACACCTGTGCAGAAGGGGCAAATCAAGACTTTTACCCATATAATGCTCCATGTGTATGTATCCCTGAACATCATAGTGGGTAGAACTCACCCCATGACATTCTTCTGTACCGTTCTGTGAACATCTAATTTGCCATAATGGAACGTGGGTGTGGCTCATAGTAGCTGTGTCTGGGGAGAATAGAGGCGCTTCTGTGCATTCACGCACTTGGCAGATGAATAGCAAGGTATGTATAGGAGCTCCAAAGCAACAGTATGGGAGCTTTACCTATGAAATGAGTGTTGAATTTTTGCATATAGGATTTGCTTTTTCAAAAAACTTTTTTTTTTAAATTTTCTTGTAGGAGTAGCCCAATTCTGTATAGTTGCACATGAAAAACCTGGTCCCTGTAGCATAAGGCAGCATATGCCAAAAAAGCTTTCAAACTACAGTGTAAAAATATATGCTTTTCTGGATGTAGACATATACTTTCAATTTAGAAATTTATCCTGGAACTCAGCCATCAGGTCCTTTTTCATCTTGTAATAAACCGAATGACGTTGTAAATAGTCATTTGGTTGGGTGTTCCCATCACCCAAACCAATCAGAATGTGACATTTGAGAATTGGTGTACCAATATCCTATTGATGTTACTTTTAGTACCAGAGCACAAGTGGACCTAAAGTAGGCTTTAGGACTCTGCAAGAACAAAGCAGAAATTCCTGATAAAATGTCGCAATTTGAAAACAGAAAATTGTATAGTACAATCTTTGGATTTCAGAAAGATATGACATTGGACTTATGTATAACAAACAAAAACAAATCCTGATGATCTCAACATGACACCATGAGGGAAAAATTGACAAAATAGAAGCCTGAGAATTTGACTTTCTGCAACAAAACCAAAGGTGGAGTAGCTGTTGTTAATGAGTTTTGCAGCAACTATGATGTCACCTAAAACACAAAGCTTTGGCCAGTGGTTGTTTTACTTGATCCTAAACATGTGGCATGATTACTTTGATAGCTTACAAGTAAAATAATAAGTGAAAAACATGGAACAATTTTCCTAGAGGATTAGAACTGTAACTGATAAGAGATCATTTACAACAGAGGAAGAGCAGAATGTTTCTGCCCAAGGAGCTCACTGGTGAACAGGCAGGTACATTACAAAGACTGCAATAGGAACTTCTGCAATAGGAAAGCCAAAAAGATGTCAGCTGTGTCTCTACAAGAAAGGACAGTGTAAGTAATATTTATGCATGGAAGTTGAAGTTATCATATGTGAAGACTTCTTGGAGTGTGATGAGTGAAGCAAAAAATTATTTCTGTGCTAGACTTTTGTCTGTATTTACATTGTAGTTCCCATAGACATTCATTCTTGATGTTATCTTTTAGATTTTGTAAGCAAGCATACAGCTGATATGAATACAGTCATGTCTAGTCTAAGTGCTCATTACATATTTGACACTTTATTTTATTGATATCTTATTTTCCTATTAAGTGCACTTTTAAAAATATAGTAAAAGCTCCTGACAAAACAGCAAGCCAAGTGAGATACCAAATATGTCCCACACAAAGGGCAGGAAAGCAAAATACATGTTCTGTTAATGTAAGCTAAAAGGGTGTATTTAATGCATTGTCATATGTGAAGACTGCCTGAGGTGCGATAATTGAAGTAAAGATTATTTTTGTTGCCCATTTCTTTTGGTATTTTCATTGTAGTTCATATAGGGAATTATTTCACTTGGGTTTTTCTTTTTTTTAGCCTTCAGCATTCAATGTTGAAATTTTTGACGCTTTTTTTATAAAGACTCAATATTAAAAATCCAATATTTTTCCTGTTTAGTACTCATTGTTTAATATAATGAAACTCATAAATTAATAATATTATAATATTAATATAATGAAACTCATAAATTAATAATTCATGAATAGAAATGCTTCTAAACAATAGATGTGGATTTATATACCTTTTAGTACACTCCTTTAATACAAAATTGTGTAATGCCCATTATATAATATTATTAAACAGATACAAAATAATTACCAGTGGGATGAAGAAGAAAGGCTTAGCAGAGAACCCAGACTTGAGAAATAGCATCATAGGAGTACCCTGTGCTTTGTTTTTGCTTTCCTGAATTGGATGCTGGGAAACACCCATGGATAGAGACAGAAAAGTCTCCAGAGTGGCCTGCTCTCCTAGTGAAGGACTGGCCTACAGTGTGTACAGATTTTGGAGAATCAAATTTCTGATGCTTCTGAACTGGGAAAAACTGGTCGTGTACCCTATGGCCAGAATGTTTCCTCAGCATGTTGGGAGGCTTTGAAGTAGTCTCTTTGAGAGACACTTCCTCAGAACAATTTTTTGCAGCTCTCTAGAAGACAGATTTACAGAAAGTTCTGGAAGTGAGGATTACAATGACTTCTTGGCCATCCTGTGAAACAGAGTTGTGGCATCCCCAGTGGAATCTCGATTTCAGTCCTGGGGTATTTCACTGAAGCACCCTTTCTTCTCTCTGAAGATAATGGATGTTCCCTACACATAATTTTCTAGTTATCTTTACAATATATCAGTAATTCAATATTTTGTCACAGTTAGTAATTACTCTAAAGAAAAATTCTCTGCCCAAATCATTGTGATTTTTCTTTTCAAACTGGACACTGGCTGATATAATGCACAAAGCCGTTCTCTCCGTGACTAAATAGTAAATCATGGTGCTAAGAATATTTCCATGACTGCAAATCTAAAAGAAAGTCCTTGGACAAAGTTAATAAATGAGTAACACCTACCAGGAAACTTTTCTAATGATAGATTTCTCCGTTAGAACCTCAGAGCATTTGGACTTCATTTTGATCTTCACTACCTAGGACTCTCCTCCAGTCTGTTTGAGCTGGAGGAAGTTAGAGATAGGCTAGCTTTAAATATTAGATTAACCTAAATTTATGACATATGGTCCTTACAATAAATAATTGGACTTACAATTGAGCTTTACACATTTTTGCTATCCATTAGAATTATTTAATTAAACCTAAAATCACATTATATATATTTTAAAGATTGATAATGGGAATATTTCACTAATTCACACTATAATTAACCCTATTCAAAGAAATGCATAGTTCTACATAAAGATTTTTTTTGGTCTTATATATAAGATATGTTAAATTCTAGAGATAAGCTAGACATCTTTCTACACTGAAATTAAGCACATACTCAAAATGAAGTACAGTACTTCTGAATTTATAGGTTGCCAATTCACAATCTCTGCTATTGCTATAAACTAATAGCTTGAGTGCATCATTAGAATGTAAATAACTATTTTTTTCTGAAAACTTTCAAATGAAAAAACAACTTTGAGACACTTTTATTACAAGTTATGAGGTGAGTACTGAAGTTGAAATTGATAAGCACTTTGCCTAAGCATATATATGCACAATTAAATTCCATCAGCAATCATTTGTTACTAATTATTGTCATATTTCTAAAGTTACATTAATCTGTATCAACTATAAGCTAATCCAAATTTTAACTTAACTGCAGAATGAGACCTCCAAAATTGCTTAATCATATGATTTCACAAAGTAATGTACTTTGTGATACACTTCAAGTATGACAGGTTTGGCGACTTACTGTGTGAATAATAAAAAATGTATTTCTATCTGATATATGGTGGTTGATGTGGAAAATGACATAAAGTTTTGGCACAGAAGATTTTATAAATGTACATTCATTAGAATAATATAAGTGTCCAAGTTATTGGAGTATTACAAATATATCAAGTATTTGTTTCCTTCACTAACAATATAAACTTAAACAGAAAACAGTAAATACTTGAAAAAATACTTTCAATTTAGTTATTTTAGGCCAACTGAGCTATAATGACTTGATTTTTAAAAAGAGCATTTTATGATCACTTTTTAATGAAAACTAATTCGTTTTTAATGTTTCTTAGAAAAGCATGTTGTGAAAAGGCTACAAAATGACTGACATATACACTGGAAAACATATTGCTAGAACAATTAAGTGGCTGTGCTTGATTTATTGTTACTAAGGGAGAAAATCATTTTATTTTCAAGCACTCAACATACTCTAAGTTGTTGAAAGAAATTCTTGTTTCTCTCTTTGGCCAAATTAATATTTATCTTTGCATTAGACAACAAGTTGCAATTTAGTTGACAATCAGAGAACAAGTAACTAGTTACTTTTGAGTCACTGTTACAGACTGAAAAACTTATATTATTCAGAAAGAAGATAGATATTTGGTTATTGTGGAAGTAAAATTTTTGGAACAGATATTTTTGAAACAAGAAATTTTTCTGTTCGTATTGCTATTAATGTTAACGTTGCTTAATCATATAACAATATATTCATTTTAGAATATTGAAGTAGTAATATCATATTTTGGCAAAAGATTGCTGTGTATTT